AGGTTTCTTTAATCATTTTTGGTAGTATTTCTTCCTTCTTTTTTGCTCTTTTATTTTATTTTTATTGCCTTTTTACACTCTGATCCTATCTCGATACACAACACATCTATTTTTCTATGTTTTTTCCCCTTTTCATATAATTATCTTTATTTTTAGTATTTTTGGTATTGTTTTATTTTTCCACACACCCCATTTTCTAACAATGATTTTCCTAAAAGAATTCTTTATCCATTTTTTGTGCTATTCTTTTCCTCTCTCTCTCTCTCTCTCTCTCTCTCTCTCTCTCTCTTTTTCATTTTACTTTTATTGACAATCTCGCTATGTTCTCACACCGTTGCTAACTAACAAAATCTTTCAACACTAATACCGTCCCCACCCCTGGTCCTATAACCCTTTTTCCTCTATATTCAACATCTCACTCCCCTTCCATCTACCACCAATCACAATTTCTAAATCTAAGGTTATTTTCACATAAAGTTTTGCACAGCGAGGATCAAACAGGGAACGAGTTTTTCTAACAGTTCTACCTACAAGCGGACTCTATCCAGCCTCATGAACTACTGTGTGATAGTCACCACCCTCCCTCTGTTTATTTCTTGCGTCCGCTGACGAAGAACACAGGCGAAAATTCCGAACTTGGAACCTCAATTTCCGTGATTCATTATTTGTCACCTGGTTAATATTAATAAATGTTTTTCGTACTGATTTCATCAGTACACTTTTGTTTGATTTTGTTTTATTCACCAACTTATCTACTCTATTTTTTTTATATATATATATATATATATATATATATATATATATATATATATTAATGTGTCGGGAAATAAAGTTTTAAATTGGATAAGAATGAGACGTTTCCCGTTCTGAATAACAACACGTCATTAAAATATAATTACGACTTGGTTGTCATCTTATTCAATCTCATTAATTCCTCTTAAAGCATTAATAAAATAAATGAACGACGACGAAAGCCCATAAGCGCCGATGCGTATGATTTTATTTCCATGATAAAGATGTCCAACCTCTAATTCGAACATTACTATAAACATGTCCACGTTAAATGACATACAACAATTAAATTAAGATTTGTGGAGTTCATTTTACTCAGTAAAAAATAATAAAAACACTGTTTCAAATTCCGACTGTACATATTTCTCGTGCTTATGTACTGTAGACGAGACACTCAAATCTAATTTAATCAGCCACAACATATGGTAGCGGCCATCTTTTTTTCTCGTAAAGATAAAAGAAAAGAAAAAAGTAACCGAATCAATCTATGTAATGAGGCAAATAGATATCAGACTTCGTGGGATATTCTGTCTATGCGCTCTTGAACAGACACAGTGAAAGATAAAAAATTAATCTTAGTATTATTTTGTCATAGCACGATAAATATCAACGGAATATACAAGACCTGTGCGGAAATTATCCATTCTTATAATAGCAAAACAGGTTACCCAGAGCAATGGCGCCTTAATTCCTTTAAAGACATTCCCCTTGATATACCTATCCTATCGTTCTTTCCACTTTTCAAAAAATCCTTCAATTCCGCTGTCATGATCGCCATCAGCAACCTCGAAGCGTTCCCCTTCATCTCGCCCTCAGTTTAAAAGTGCTTCCATTTCTAAACGGATTTTAGCTTCTTTTTTTTTAAAAAAGAAAAAAGCTTGAATTTGCAAGAAGTAAATTCTGGGTTGTAGAAAAGATCTTCAGGATGTGTTGTTGGAAAAATGTGACACCGAGATCCGAACGCGAATGGAAATAGCAAAAGATGTATTCCAAAAGCTAAGCAAAATACTAAGAAACAGGAACATTTCGTTACAAACAAACGAGAAGCGCTACACTGCTATATAATATCAATCCTCCTGTATGTCAATGAATGCTAGACAATTCCTCATAAATGAAGAGAAGACTGAATGAAACAGAAATGTGGTTCTCCTGAAGGATTCTGAGATTACCATAGACAGGGTAAGCAACGAAAATGTCTTTAGGGAAATGGAAACAAAATGGGGTGGTAGCGGGCATCTAAATTAATGATTTGTGAATGGATGGTGGAAAGAGGCGTGAGAGAAATGGAAGAAAGACAAATGTCACAAAGAGCTACAGAGATAGGAACGAGAGCCATAATTACCCACATCCTCAAGAGACTCAACGCGGAAAGGAAAAATATATACATTGTTTACGAAAAAAGACACGGGGACGAGACGTAAACATGAAAGCAATTTAAGCATTCGAAATGACAGGAGTAGAATCGGAAGATCATCTTTTAATTATTGAAGCCAATCACTGATTTTCTTTGATGACCACCTGCACGCATTCACCATTTTCAGGTAATCCATTTGTTGATGGCCTTCCAGAATGTAGAACGGTTTCAACTGATTGCCAGCCAAATTTGAGGCGTTGATGCTAACATTTTATCTGGACTTCGCTCAACTCCGACATTAGTTAGAACAGTTTTCACAGATGAATGTTCAATTTTCAAGCCTAACTGGATGAA